TCATATTTGTTACTGTTTTACTGTCATATTTGTTACTGTTTTATTTGTGTTTCAGATCTACTGCTGTCGATGAATGCACTAGCAAAGAACGACGGTGATGTAAACGGAATCGAGAGTGATATCGGCGCGATCAACATGCAGATCGAAGAGGTCTATCGTAAGTCACACTACAGTGCCGAGCAGAAAGTGCGGCTGCACGAAGCCATATTGATGTGGGTTATTATTCGTTTGTGATTGTTGCATTCTAATATGATTATGAATTCAAGGGTGTTGCGTGGTGAACGCACCGTCAATGGAGCTGCTAATATGATGCAGTTACCTGCGTCAACACTTCATCCGTACGTGCAAAAAGCTCGTCTGGCGATAGGTTTGTATAATATTGAGTAATAGTAATAATAATAATTGTGCATATTTTGTATACTAGTAAATGTGGATCATTCTGGATCAATAATAATCTGTAAACTTATAATGAATTTGCTGATTAAATAAATCATAATCGTATAATTCAGGTGACTGTTCAGCACTGTTATCAAAATCAATGTCGTCATTAAACGATAGTGGCGGCGATAGTAATAGAAAAGCGATACAGCCGGAATGGTCGGACATAGCACAGGTGAACGATTGTGTGAAGGGATTTCTGGATGAGATTCCGTTCGATGAGAACATTAAGGCAAAACTTCAAGCAGCCATATTAATGGTTGGTTCCGGTTTTATATTGATTTGTAGAGCTCGCTTGAAGAATAAATTTATTGTTCTTCTAAAATACTGTCTTCTGATCTGTTGTGTAGTGATCGAATTAGCATATGTGATCAAATTAGCATACGTGATCTGCTGATTTGTCGTCTATTGTTAGATTTGTCGTCTACGTCTACTGTTAAAAAACTATTTAAGGACGATTTCATTGTCTTGGTTTTGCTGCCGAATAAAGTATTGTCTTTCATCGTCTCGGGTTTTTCTTCGTCGCTCATCAGACACAACATCTGTCATCAGGATTTTCTTGCGGCATCCATCTGATATTCCTTTGTGTGTGTGAATATGTCTCGAAAGAGAGGTTCATATAAAGATTTTATTCATCTTATGTGGTAATCATCGTAAAGCACGATCATATTCGTCTCTAGTGAATAAATCAATAGCATATTATGTAGTCGGTTGCGGTATTATGCTAGGCAATATTATGCAATTTGAATTAAATGTTTAACTTGTAGACAGTCGTTGATTTTGGGAGGTGGGATGAGGGCTTGAAGATAGGTCAATGAGATCTGCAGGGGGTCGATTTTCAATCGAATGTTGGTGTATTTTCGAGGCACGTCCTGAGGGGTCTTCATTTTCCTGAATGATATTCATTTGTTATTATTCTTATTATGCATTATTATTATTATTATCATTAATTACTCCTATTATGTATTATTTATTATAATTAGTATTAAAAGAACATCGTACCTGCCATTTTGGGATCCATTTGAGAACGGTTTTAGCGGCGTTATCCGAGGGGAAATGCTGATGGAATATTTGCCTCATGTAGAAAGCTTCTTTTGAGTGCGGTGTATTGAAAGGATACAACTGACTCGCTTTTGACATCTTGATTAATTTCATTAGTGATAGATATGTTTTATGCTAATTAAAATAGCTGTAAAATAAATATGTCTGTACCTGTTCATCAGTGACTTGTTCAGCGCAATAGTTCATCAGTTGATCAATCCACGAGTAGCCAACACCATCCGAAAATTGCTCTTTCTGTCTCCAGAGAATCTCTTCTGGTAGATAAGGATCATCCTGTTAGTAGAATATGTTAAATAATATTAATAAGTGATCATATAAACTAACGTGAACATCGAAAGCTGCACGCAGAATCCATTTCTCGACAAGTTTGTGTTTGTGGTTGTTGCGTTGAGCGGGTCGTTTGTATTTGGGTTGTGTGAGCATAGCCACATCTAGGAATGCTTTATCCAGAAACGGCACACGAACTTCCAGGGAGTGAGCCATACACGACTTGTCGGCACGTAGACAGTCTGCTGTACTGAGCAGTCGTACACGACGAATGGTTTCCTTGAGTTGTGAGTATTACTGCTGATTGTGATTAGTGCGTTTTGCTGCTGATTTGATACCTTTTGGAATTCGTCATCGTTGGGAGCGTTGTGAAAGTAAAGATAACCACCCAGAATCTCGTCGGCACCCTCACCAGACAGAACCACTTTGATACCCATCTGCGAGATACGTTCCGACAGAAAGTACATGGGTACAGAGGCTCGGATCGAGGTAACATCATAGGTCTCGAGATGCCAGATCAACTTGTTGATGCATTCAATACCCTCCTGGAATATAGCATTCGTTAGACGTTCGGGTTAGAGCATTAGAGCTGTGTAATGACCTGAACAGTGAAGTGGTACTCGTGGTGTTCGCTTTGAATGAACTGAGCCACCCGTCTGGCAGCAGTTACATCTGGAGCTTGTTCGTTAAGACCAATTGAAAAGGAACGCATTGTAAGCCCTCTTTTGAGCATTTCCTTCATCGCAATTGAGCTGAATTTCTCTTATTATTACTATTATTTATAATTCTTCTAAAAAGTACCTGATAAGACTGGAATCGAGACCTCCACTGAGTAGAACCCCAATGGGTGCATCGCTCATAAGTCTTTTATGCGTTGCTTTTATGAGAGCATCTTTAAGAAGTTGAAAGTTCAAATCGACAGTTGCGTTGCTTGGCTGGTACCATAAAGGCTGTAATTATAATTGTGTTCTCGTTATAATAATAGTTATTTATGGTTAGCGTTACTTACCTCGTAATATCGAACGAAACGAGTTTTTGGTGTCCAAAAATAGCCAGGAGGAAACGTAGCGAATTCGTTGTCTCGACAGATGTCTTCGACTACTTTCAGTTCACTGCTGAAAGTATAGCAGAAGTTTTAGAATTACACATAACTATTGTTATAGATATTAAAAATGACCTGAAAAAGAATCTGCCTTCGTTATCGGTACCATAATAAAGAGGCTTAACCCCGATTGGGTCTCGGGCCACCAGGAATTCATCGCCAAAAATAAGTGCAAAACCAAATACCCCGTCGAGTTGATTGCATATCATTCCATTGCGTTCCTTTATTACTTATTGTTATTATTTATTGCTATTACTATTGTTATAATAATAACAATTATTATAAATAGTAACCTTTTCATAGAACATAATAATTGTCTCGGAATCGCAGTGAGTACGGAATTGATATTGTTTGAGGGTTGTGTCTCTTAGCTGTTTATGGTTATAGATCTCCCCGTTGTGAACCACCTAAATATTGAATAATTAATAAATAATATAAATGAGAATAAGAGTTTACCTGATGATCCGCTTGAGTGCCCTGTAAGGGGTGTTTGCAGTGCAAATCCATGATAGACAGACGTTCATGACAGAGAATATCGCCGGTTACTGGGTTCTGATATGAGCCGTGACAGTCCGGACCTCGGTGTCTTTGACGACTTCAATTAGTTATTATTATTATTTACAAGTTTCATTTTATGTAGTCTATATAAATGTAACCTGGAATGTTCTTGCGCAGTTAGAAGCGAGAATTTCGTAGGGCGTGTTCCGTTATGTTCACAGTGGCATATGGCAAGAATACCGCACATTTTGATAGATATTTATTCTATTTTTATTGTCTTAAGAATTGTTGTGATTTTGGAAATAGATTGTAGAAATATTGTGCTGAAATGTGATTATAATAATTATTAGAAATAGAATCTAAAGTAGTAAAAAACTGGGATGGTGATTAAATGAACGTGGTGTGCGGTGGCGTTTATATAGGGAACGGGCAAGGGAGGAGACTTGAATAATATTGCGCAATGGTGATGTAAAGTGATGTCTGAGTTAGTGTTGTTATTGCGTTTAAAATGGCTTTTTGTTATTGTTATCGCGTGTGGAATTTAATGATTATTATATTGATAATAAGATTTGGAATCGTGAGAATTGGGGAAAGCCTGTTAGAGATTTAATGATTGGTGTGCACATTAGTGATTGGTGTTTGATCGCTTAGTGATGTGTTGACGATGTGTATGTGTTTACGTGATCGGTGCTGCTGCTGCTGCTGCTGCTGTTCGTAATGATAACAAGTTGTTTCAACTCGATTTGCTTCTGTTTTTCACAAAATTTTGGTGGGAGTACTTTTTTTGAACAAAGTAATATTATAAGGTATTGTGCTAAGTAGAATTGAATTTTGAAGTGTGTGCTGTACGGGAAAGCCGTCAAGGACTCATCGGACGCCAATGACGTACCGTTGTATATACTGAAAAGATGTATTCGAGAAGTGCAACGAAAATGTGCGTTACTGACGGATAGCAAGGCGATTGCTGCGGTGAGTAGTTATCATATTAGGGAATGGAAGGAATTAGCGGGGAGAACGTGTTTGCTTGAGAATGCAATTGACGGGTTGTTTTTGGTGGTGTTGAGTGTAAAATGTTACTGCTTTGCAGCACTGAATTTTTACACTGTATTAGAGCGTTGTAAATGAGTGATATCTGCAGGGGAAAACACAGCCCGGATTCGGTATGACCGACGATAAAGCATCAGATGAAGAAGTGAGGTGTATTGTTTTGAAGGTAAGGTGTTGTTGTTGTTGTTTGTGATCAATTCGGTGTAATTGCACTCTTGATTACAGTTACTGGCGAATTCAAGTACGCGCAATCGAAGACGCGATCAGTTAATATCAGCCGTAACAAAAGCAGTCTCGGGTAGATTCACCATTAAAGACGCATCTCAAATGGAGGGATTACCAGGTTATATTCAACATTGACATTATTATTCATGTATGATAATAGTAGTTTAGTGAGCACAGTGCATCCATACGTTTCGAAAGCACGTCATATGCTAGGCAATCGTTGTCCAGCCCCGAAAGGAGCAGCCATCGAAGTGGAGCAGGCAGTGAACTTGGCTCGTTTGCAGTGGTGTAGCGAGGTGGATAAGGTAGGTGGTGCGGTGCATTGGGTGTTTATTGATAGCGATTGAAAGGAATGATTTTAGTTCGGTGCAGAGAGTGCTGGGGTGAGTAACGTGGAAGAAGGTGACGGAAAAGAGGCAAGAAAATTGTTGCGCAAGGTTGGTTTATGTTTTCAGTAGCGAAAAAATACTTGTTATGGAAATCGAGTGGCTGTTTTGTGAATAATGGCTGTGAGAAACGATCATCGGAGTATTTTTATTTGATTAGAGCTATGACTATTTATTGGTTTGATATTTGGCAACACTTTTAATTAGTCGTGAGATTGTGTTCGTTCGTTCGATTAGGCTGCTCGCCTAGCAACCAGCCGGGTGGCTAAAAGAGTGCAAACGGAAACATTGTGGCCAGTAGCTTGAGTCACAAACTTAGTTTGATGAGAGCCTGGCCAATGCAATGATAATGAATGCTGCTGTCACAGCGCCATCTGAGTTCGCCATCGCGCTCCACGTCGTCTTCATCATCATCGTGCGAAGGCAACAGTCTGCAAACATACGAAGACGAGTTGATGTTGTATCGAAACATGAACGCGATGAATCTGCACGAGAATATCGCGAAGAATGTCAAAGAAGTGCGCATCAAGTACTTGATTTATCTGTTGGTGTTACGACAGTACAGACGATCCTTCAGAGAGCAAGTGGTGTGTTTCTTTTTGCTTTTGTTTTATATTTAAGTTTGATGTGTTTTATTTGTTTAGTTGTTGTCAAAGGCACTGGCGCATGTCTTGTTAGATGGATTGTTGGTGGAGGAGGTGGCTGAGACGAACTTGGGACTGAGTATGTACATCTTAAAGGTTGGTTCATATTCTATCATTATTACTCTTATTGTGTTCTAATAATGACTATTTAAGGCTTATGTTAAACGATGTCGTGAGGTGAACCACTGCATTATGCAGGAGTTTCCAGTATTCCGTAGTGGAGTGAGAGATCTACGTATTGAGAGGCAAAAAAATGCGAATTTATTTCACGGTAATAATTGTTGTATTTGTTTAGATATGTAATATTCATTGATATTTTTAGTGCCACCAGAGTTTGATGAATTGGCCGCAGCTTCTGCAAGTGAACGTTGTATTGCGAAAGTAAAGGTGACTTTTATATTGTTGTTAATATTACTTTGTATTGATAATACTGATTATAATTCAGTATGATAGAGCAAAGAGAGAGTGGCTTGGAAAGGTGTTGAACGGTCGTGTGGCCGAACCGATGGCCTCTTATTTGCAGTGAGTTTATTTGGTTTAAATAATGGTTATTATTGTTTTTAATATTACATTATTATTGAATTTGAGGAAGCTCTGGGCTGTGAACTTTCCGGTAGGGGCCGATTTGGTGCAGGGGTTGGCACAGTACACGTTTAGAAGTGTTTATCCAGAAGTGGTTATGGAATCGGATGTGTGGTTGGGTTGGGTTCGAGATTACTGCGACGAGCACGGTTATTTGGCAGATTCGGATATTTGAGTGATGAGGAGTTAATTAAGAGCTTATTTGATGGCGTTTCGGTGAAGTTGTTTGATGATTGCTCAACTGCCCATTGTTTTACGTTCTGGTTGTTCATATTGATATAGCTTTATATTGTAATCTCATTAGAATGATATTCCTGATGTGTATGTGTATGTATGTGAACATATTTCGTGTTGATCCTCATCTTGTCTTGTTGCAAACATTTATTTGACTTGCTTACAGTATTTATTTATCATTTATTTTCGAAGATTTATTGAATGAGAGTGAACTGAAAAAATAAACGTTTCTACCGTTGTTATGAATAAATTGATAATTGGAAGCGTTTTATCGTTTAATACTTGTTACTATTGTTATTTATGGATATGTAATGACTATAATAATAGTAGTAATTGCAGTAAAGAATGTCAAGGGTTTTGTTAAGTCTGCTGTGTAGACCGACATCGTCGGGCTCGTTGATCATCCTGGGTGAATATTTAGCGAAAAGTGAGAATGCAACGTCTAGCTCATCACAATCCGAAGAGATTTCAGCACCAAGTGTTGCCGAGATACGTCAGCTTATACTGCAACGTGCACGACTCTATTTCACGAACAAGGACTCGTTGAATCTGGAACGGTTAGATTTGTGGTGGTTGTTTGTTATGGATTGTGTGCTTAATGCAAGCGAACAAATTCAGTTTGGTTTGTCATTATTCGGTGGTCGCTGAGCAGCCGTTTACACTTGTGTACGTTTGCATTGCCGAGCCAGGTTTGGCACACGCCAAAGCAGCGTTGTTCTTGGATAAACTTCAGGTTTTATTTTTATAGTTTAGTATGACGAGTAGTTTTTATTTTGAAATTGCAGAATGCAGTTTCAAATGATGTGACGCTGCTGACATGTCTATCGGATTCGCAAGATTACCAGTTCCAGACTCGAATCGCACCGAAATTCGCTGAGTTAACGGTGAGAGTTAAGGGTATATTTGAATAAACTCTTATATGAGCAATGCAAACTGGATTTGTCAGCAGTATAATGTTGCTATATATTATTTGATTTCACAACGTTTAAAATTGATAAGTGCTGCTGGTTTTTTTGAGCGCAGTAAGAGAGAGTGTATTGTTTATTTATACAAGTGAAGTATCGATCGATATAGACTGATTCATTGCTTGTCGCGTTGATGGTTATTGTTGATTGCAGTGTGCCTACTGGATGCTTTGGCTTATTAGTATTACTATTGTAAATTGTTTTCAGATGGAACAGAATAAACAGGGTGGACAGTCGGCACGGATGTCGCAATTGCAACAGCAAGTGGCCGATGTGAAGACGGTTTGTTATTGTTATTATGATTATTATTATTATTATTATGATTATTATTATTATTATTATTATTATTGAGATTGTGATTCAGGTGATGAATTCAAATGTGCAACGGATACTGGAACGTGGTGATCGACTGGAAAATTTGGAAGGCAGAACTGAAGCGCTCACGCAATCGGTATTATTTGTTATTAGAGGAATTGTTATTCATAAACGAGTTTAATATATATTTCAGTCAGAAAGTTTTAAAGTGACGGCGCGTCGTGTACAACGTCACATGTGCATGCAGAACGCCAAGTGGACAATATTGATAGCGATCGGGACGGCAGTGGTGGTGATTATAATCGTGATGATGATTCTGAATAGTGTTGGCGTGTTTGATAAGCATTAATTGTATTTGACTTTGTATATATTAGTGCGTGAGCACATTTGATATTTAAGTGTGATACTTTGCATGCTCGAAATATTTTGTTTTGTATTAATAATATAGATGATTTGATTGTGTTGTTGTTTGTTCATTGAGCAGTAAATTGTTCTGGGGAAAACTGCTCAGTTTCCCTTATATGACAATGGCAAAGGAAGGGTAGAGCACAGGCACAGAGGATTATGGGACGTACTGACGAAATTGAATTGAAGTTTGGTTGCTGAGTAATGCTTAAGAGATGAGCGCTGTTGAACAGTCGAAGGATGGCCAAGAGCAAAAGGCGAGGTCAAAGGCTACAACGGCTCGAAAAGGACGACCTGAAGCAGATATCTCTGAATGGGTAGAAGCGGCCAACTCAAGAGTAAGCTTGCATTTGTTATATATTCATCATATTTGTTACAATGACACTCGTTTAGACACTCAAACTACAAACAAACGAAACACCTCGGAAACGACACATCAATACAACGCCGCATATTGATTTAACTGCATCGAAAGGTTATTATTATTATTATTATTATTATTATTATTGTTATAATGAAGTGTTGTTGTATAATGTATAATTATAGATAAAAAGATAGAAGATGGCTCAGAATCGTGCGACGAGGCATCATCTTCCACACAGTTTCCGGAACCTTTAGACGGCGGTTATGGCTGGGTGATTGTATTTGCATCATTTTGCATTCATTTCATTTGTGATGGTTCGCTTTTATTATTGTCGTTATTATTGTTGTTGTGATTATTATAATCGTTATTTAAATTGTTTTAATGATAACATTAAGGAATCTCATTCTCGTTTGGAATAATGTTTCCCGAAATTCAACAGTACTTCAAAGCGACGAAGACCATGTCAGGGGTTGTTGGATCAATCTTCTTATCAATACCACTGCTATCAGGCCCGTTGGCAGCAGTGCTCACAGACATTTACGATTGTCGGTTAGTATTGGTTTGAGTTTGATGTATACTCATGTCTATTCATTTAAGCATGATGACGTTCGTCGGTGGCGTAGTGGCCGCAAGTGGCTCATTCCTATCGTTTTTTGCATTCGACATAACGCACTTTATGCTCACATTCGCTATCATCACGGGAATTGGTCTGAGCTTTTGCTACAATACAGCGATTGTTGCAGTCACTTACTACTTCCAGGTGAGGATTAAGTGTTTTAAATGTGCTTTGTTATAAGTTTGAATTGTATTGTGCAGAAGAAACGTGCACTGGCCACCGGAATCGCTGTGTGTGGTTCAGGCGTTGGAACGTTCGTGTTTGCACCGATTATTGAAGTGGTTGGTGGATTAATTAATTAACTCTCCTCTCATTGTGTTATCAAACTCAGGTGTTCTTTTCTGTAATAATGAGTGTCAGCAGATATTGCTGCTCTTAGTTCACTAATAGGATGAATATTTTCAGTTATTCAATAAGTTCGGTTGGCGTATAACCCTGATTTTTATTGGATTCTTGTTGCTTTTATTGGTGGGATGTGCTGCGATAATGAAGGTTAGCTTGTTTGTTTGTTATTAGATAATGTGAATTGTGTTGTAATTGACGCTAGGATAGGATCTGGAATGGCCGCAGGATACGTTGGAATATAAGAAGAAGAAGTTTATCGAGAAAACAGAAAAGGAACGTGCGAGACAAGGTTTTGGATTGGTCACTGAGGAGGTGAGTACATTCTATTTGTTGTTGTTAGTGGTTATTGCGATCGATTGCAATTTAGATAGAGCCAATGAATGGAGTGGTGTATAGTCGAAGACGTGCCATCTCGTTGCCTGAGCTCTCGAGCAGTGTCCGATGGTACTTACAGCGAATTCAGGACACCACCTCAAATATACAGCTGGTTGGTATTTTCGAGCAATAGCACTAGTATAATAATAGTAAGGAGTTGAGGTGCGTGATGTGGCGAATGAGATGCAAGAGTGCGTGTCACGAAGCAAAAGTGTGGGCACATTCCTTCGCTCGGCAACGAATAATTTCAGTTCGGATCTACAAGTGAGTTGTTCTAGTAATTTATTTGCTTGGTTGCATTGAATTAGTGATAAATATTGAAGGTTGTTCCATCAAAAATAAATAGTAACGGTAGAAGATGTCTTCGATGGAATTCAGTGGGTGCACTTGAACGAGGTAGCGATGAGTCGGTTGAGCGCGATTGTGTGATCAGTAGACATTTCAGGTGGACTTTTATTTATTATTGTTGTTGAATTAGGGAATGAATAATTAATGAAGTAATTAAGTTTGATAAGCGAACGACAGAGTGATGATTCGTCAACAACGCAGTCGAATGAGGGTGATGCGGGTTCGTCGAGATTTCTCACCATAACGGCTGCTGAATCAAAGGTATTATTTATGGTGTTTGTGGTTTGTTTATTATTAGTTATTATTGCAGGTGGATGATTTGGAAAGGCAGAAACGAGAAGATGAACCATTGTTATTAGATGGTGATGATGCCAGGCTGCGTAAAAACTCTTTGGGCGCGTGCGTTAGAGGTTTATTTATTTATTTATAGTCATAATTGCATGTGTATAATTTGTTATTAAGATGCTCGAGCGATGCCACGTTTCGCGACAATGCTAAGTGGTGTGGGCACAGCGCAAGGTCGTGTTCCGGCTTCCAATATAATAACCTATCCAACAAGAATTAATAATGACATCTGTTTATTTGCTCTGAACAACAATAGTAATAATATGCATCAGCGAGTACCCTCTGCACCTGCGATATTCTTCAGACGAAAACGCAAATCACGTCGTCACCTGCAAATTGCGAAGGTTTATTTGTTGTTGTATCGCACAAATATTTGCTGTTCAGTATTTATTTATTTATTTATTTATGTAATTTCAGATGCTAGAGTCGACATGCGAGTGGCTATCGGTAACCAAGTCCCTTCTATTAATACCGACATTCCTAATGTTCCTTGTAAGTACATTCGTTTTATATATATTCTTTGATATACCCTATGTAAACTTCCCGGAATATGCAGTGGAACATTTGAATGTCACCCAAACAACAGCTTCATATCTGGTGTCGTCAATTGGTTTCATGAATACAATATCAATGTTGCTATGTGGCTTCTTGGCTGATTGGAAGAAAACTAGAGAGGTAGGCTTAGGCTTAGTTGTGAGTAGCAGATTAGCTTAATGCTTAATCTTAATTGCAGCAAATCATAGTGCTCTATGGAGTGTTCATAGTGTTGGCAGGTTGTTGTGTTGTGCTCACACCGTTTGTCAACTCCTATCTACTCGTTTTGATGTTGTGCAGTGGCTATGGATTCTTCATAAGTGCCAATTACGTGCTTGCCTCGGTGATCACTGTACATCTGCTGTGCTTGTATGACTTCCAGACCGGTTACGGACTACTCTGTCTGGTCGAGGGCTTGGGTAACCTCATCGGACCTGCCCTTGTCGGTAAGTACTTATTATTCATCTGTGCGTGGGCGGTTTACCACGCCCACTCAAGTTGCCAAATACGAATTTTGACAGATTGCCAAGGTCCGCCCAGACAACACTAGGATGACATTGTCGTTGGTGGTGTGATTATAATTGATAATGATAAATTAAGGGTTTATTCATGACACTGTTGGAACGTATAGGAATATATTTTTGGTGGGCGGATGTGGAACAATATTTTCGGGACTGTTGGTGCTCTTCATAGAGGTGTACTTGAGAGTGCATGCGAGTGAATGCGACGAGAACGGACATCAGTTGGTCATTTGATTGATTTTGTTGTTGATTTGTTGTGGTAATCAAAGACGGGTGTTTGTTTGAAGTGTTGCTGCGGAATCCACTCTTCAAACGTTAGTGGTTTCGGATGGAGCAGGTGAAAACGACTGCGGCTGAATATTATCCTTATTACACACTTCTACAGGTTATTTTCGCACTTCATTGGAATACTTTATTATTATTGTTGTTGCAGTTGTTATTCTTGACATTATTGTAGTTATTTGTTCCTTATTAAGTAATAAGTTATCCATTTTAAAGCCACATTCTGAACCGAATTCAAATAGCTCATCTCATATATAATATTGCTGATCTCATCATCAATTAATTAGTTCCATATCGGTCGCTTTAATGCAATTATTGTAGAATTTTTTGCATAATTATATTGTTATTGTAAGAGTTGTAATATATAGCATAATCATCGTTGTACATAGTAGTGGTTGTGTGCATGCATCGAGCTTTATGTTGTCACGACATAATATTGATAACAATATCAATGCTATTGTTTTACTAATAATATCAATTCATTTGGGTGGTTATATTGTTATAATATATTGTGTTGCTCATGAGTAATTCGAGTTGGTTTATTTTACAGTTACTTTTAGCTGAGTAGTAAATGATGTTTACAGAATTAATTCACTTTAATAATGTATTTTGTGTGCGTTTTCCTGTGAGCATTTGAATATCATTTAGCAGTTTACTGATTCAGATTAGATATTGATATGTTGTTATTGTTGGATTATAATTGCAGTGCAGTTGGTTGTTATTTTAAGCGAGTTATAGTGTTGTGTAGTAGTAAGTAAACAGATTACATTTACTTGAATAAATGATGTTGTGTTTGCGTGTACTGGACTGTTATGCAGAGTGCAGTGACGGGCACACCTAGGCACGTAGGTTGCTGCTCATTTTAGGACGTTTCAAGACTGGATACACTGTTATTGTTATCAGTAGATGCATAAGAACTTTTTGAAATTCGTTTCTCGTCTCCCAAGCAATAGATAGGACAGGCAGTATGTTGGCTATACTGTTATGATTGCACTGAAATCTTTATGTGTTTTCATGCGAATAAATATTATTATTGATAGCATTGAACAGCAGAGGAAATCAGGCTTACAGGGGTGTTTCATACGGGGCGTGGCCGCAGTGGCGAGATTGTATGTGTGGCATCGTTGGAGTGCTGTTGGTTTGTGGCGAAACTTCCCGTAGCATTAGAGATTTGAACGTTGTGAATGGTCTCAAAGCGTTCGGACTGGATGGTTCGTAGTGTGTTGATAAGATATTGCTTAGCAACCATTTGAAAATTAGTTTTATTTATTAGTATTATTTATTATTGTTGTGGTTGTATTCTCGTTTCGGGTTATATTTATTATTAGGCACATTTTAGATGTGCATTCGTATCAATATTGTATATGTTTAGGTAGTGTTTATAATGAGGTGATTAATTTTGCAGAATTATAGATTGATTTGATTTGAGTATTGAGAAGAATAATTAATTT